CAGGGCCATACAGCTAGTAAATATCTGAGGCCAGATTTGAACTCAGAAAGATGAGTCTTCCTGACCCCAGACCTGGCACTCTATCCACTGTGCTACCTAGCTGCCCCAATATCCATGATAAGCATTTGCAAAAGGCCTGTGCTGAAGATAATTATAACTTCAGTAATAACTTCTGTTGCAGGTAATAAGGAAGTAGAGAAAAGCTATGAACAATTCGATGAGACTGTCCAAGTGAAATCAACATAATCTTTGATTCAGTGACTTCAATGTAAAGATGGTGTGACCATTTGGATGTACTCTTTTGCAAGATTTGGAGGTTTTAAGGTTTAAGGCAGAAGTGAAGAGCAAAGGGAATCATTCTCTCTTCCAGTCCCCAACTTGGAATTTAAGGGTATCTACACTTCTGAAGCCACCCCCTTCTCCCACAGGGGAGACCTAGTCATTACTCTTGGTTTATTAAACATTCACTGAGGAGAAAATCCATATTGCTTTCCCCTTCACTAGACCACCTGGAAACCAGCTCAGTTTTAGCCTGAGAGGCATAAGACATTGGAACTGAGAAGCTTATAAAATTTACAAATTAAAAGACATCACAATATATAAATATGAACTGTTATTCTTGTTATAACCACAGGCCTGGAGGGATGATTGTTCTCTTTGTTAATTGAGTGAATGATTCTCACACCTGTACATCCTTTGCCTTCTTATCATCTTATTAAATAGTGGTATTTCTGAATCATGCATGAGCTAGGTGACTCAATGGATGGAGCACTGGACTGCAGTGAGGAAGACCTGAGTTTACTTACTAACTGTGTGTCTCTGGGCAAGTCACTTCACCCCGTTTGCCTTACTCCATTGGAGAAGGAAAGGGGAAACCACTGTAGTATCTTTGCCAAGAAAACCCCGTGGTTGATATGGTCGAAGAGTGGGATCCCACTGAACAACAATAAACTTCTGAATCAGTTTGAGAGGAGCTGAAAGATTAGTATTTATTTGACACCACTCTCCTAGAGAACTTTCTACCCCTAAAGTGACTTCAAGGCCATTACTGGACAGTCTTGACCTTGGGTTTATGATAAGTTTTGTTTAGACAGCACAGCTAAAATGAAAACTAAACATTCACTGAGGAGAAAATCCATATTGCTTTCCCCTTCACTAGACCACCTAGAAACCGAATAGTAAAAAAGAGAAGAGTTAATATGATGGCCCTGTGAAGGAGTGACTGAATATAGAGGAATAAGAAGACTAGAAATCCTGAGCTTTGTTTCTCCACTTTGAAATGACTGAGCTCCAGAATCTAGCAATATTATGCATCTGGTTGTTGATGTTCAGTTATGTCTGACTCTTCATGACCCCATAGACCATACCGTCTACAGGGTTTTCTTGGCAAAGATACTGGAGTGGTTTGCTATTTCCTTCTCTAGCCCATTTTACAGATGAGGAAACTGAGGCAATCAGGGTTAAGAGACTTGCCCAGGGTCATGCTAGTTAAGTGTCTGAGATCAGATTTGAACTCAGGAAGATGAGTCTTCCTGACTCTAGTCCTGGCCCTCTATCCACTGTGCCATCTAGCTGCCCGATGCATCTAGTGGGTGATGCCAAATATTTGTAGTTCATAGTGGGTCTCCTGATATAAAGCAGTGATTATAAACAGTAGCTCCAGGAACATAACGATTCCTCATTACTGGTCACAGTCACCAGCACTAAGGTCATAAGGAAGTTATTATCCTCTTGCAGGAATGCGAGGATCAACGCCAAGATTTGCCCTGCCACCACCATGTACTCAATGTTCTTTCATCCACCTGCCAGGATATCCCCTTCCTTGGGAGCCCCACGGGTAGGGGATAACAAAGCTTTGCTCCTCTTGAGACCCTGCCGTGGGTCATTATTGTCCCTCTGTGGAGACTGAGCAGTTATACCCACAGTACCCACTCCATCCTATCGTTAGAAGCAAGACACCTCCCAAGAATTCTATCTCATCTCCCCAGTAAGGCACCCATCAACAATTCCACCATTTCTGAAACCCTCCCTGGGGAGGGGTTGTCTGTTGACTGCTGTAGTGGCTGCAATGTACAGGGGCTTCATCACCCTAGGTGAGTCACTTAACTTCTATCTGCCTTGGTTTTCTCACCTGTAAATTGGGGTAATAATAGCACCTCTCTGCCCGAGTTGTTGTGAGGATAAAATGAGATTCTATCTAAAGTACTTTGCAAATCTACAAGTCCTATATGGATGCTACTTGTTACTGTTGTTATTATTGTCCTCGTGACCAGGCTGGTACTCTCTCTGCTGGGCCCTGCCTCTTTCTTCCAGGGTTCAGTGCTTTTCCCTTTGCTGAGTGTAGAATGCTGACCTCTCTGCTAGAGATAAATGGTGCTGCAGGCCTGCTACTGCCTGCTATATCTGCTGCCAGGACCTGAAGGCCAGGGCATCCACACCCTGGGCTGATGCACCCCAGCGATTATGTCAGGAGCAGCTGCATGGAATGACCTAGGCCCTCTGAGAGGTTCTGGCCAGCCAGGTCAGAGCTTGGCCTCTTCTTCCTGAGAGAGGTCATCTTCTCCAATGCAGAAACTCCTCCTCCTCCAGTCAGCTCCAACTAAGGGACCCAGGAGCTCCTGACCTCTCCAATTTACAGGATTTCCATCAAAGCTAGAAGTGATCAACTCAGGATCACTGGTCATTGATATGCTCAGGGTAAGAGCCATAAAGAAGAAGAGGCAGCCAGGGGACTCATCCAGGGTGGGGAGGGGAGAGGGAAAGAGGGAAAGAGAGGGGGGGAGGGAGAGGGGGAGAGAGGGATGGAGACAGAGGCAAAGAGACAGAAAGAGACACACATAGAGAGACAGAGAGTCAGAGAGACAGACAGAGACAGACAGAGAGATACACAGAGAGACAGAGACAGAGAGACAGACAGAGGCAGACCGAGAGACAGAGGCAGAGAGACAGACAGAGACAGAGGAGACAGAGAGACAGACAGAATCAGAGACAGAGACACAGGAAGACATGAGACACAGAGAGAGATAGAGACACAGAGAGAGACATAGAGTCAGAGACAGAGACAGGGAAAGAAAGAACTCTTTCATTTTAAATTGATGAAGCTCTCTGCTGTAGTCAAGGGGGTTGGGGCCAAAGGGACACCCAGAATTAGCAGTATCATCTCAAAGTCCTTAGCCCACAAGTAACTTGAGGTCCCACAGAAGACAGGTGGACTCATCTGTTTGTCTCCATTATGCCTCTCCCTTCCTTTAAATATTTACTGACTGCAGCATATTGGCTCGGATGCATTTGGCCATCCCAGTTCTAGAAGATTCTCTGGGGTGTTTGGGAGGCTCAGACATTGTGCTTTCAAGAGTCACTCCAGTGCTTTGCACTGCAGAGTCTCAAAGAAGTCAAATGTCCTGACTCAGGTCAACTGGTGGTTCACACTGCAGAGTTAAAAGAAACAAGACACTCAGATACCAACTAACATTTTTTAGAAGGAGAAATGTATTTAATGGCAGCAGGAAGATGATATTTAACAAGGTCCTAGCTCTGATAAAGACTGGCCTCAGGTGCCCTATCTCTCTTTCTGCCCTGGCGGCAGGCCTGGTTAGAAGTCTGCATCCTCATCTAAGGAGACCCCAGCTTCTGGGCTGGGCTTTCATACTTAGATGACTAGGAAGCTATGCTTCAAACCTTAGTCCAATGAAGTTTTGAGGAGAAAACTTAATTTTCCTTTTAGGAAAAAAATTAGCCTAGCCTATCATGGCAGGGGCCAATGTAGATGTTGCTCCTAACACACATAGACACACATCTCATTTGGTTATCACACCCTATGAGGTGGGTGTTGTTATTATTTCCATTATACAGATGAGGAAACAGACTCAGAAAGGTACCATGGAAAGTTGTGTCAGAGTCACAATTTGAATCTGTATCATCCTGAATCCAGATCTAGGCTCTAGCCACCATAGTACTCTCTAATCAGAGACAGAGACACACAGAGAGACAGAGACAGAGACAAGAGAGCTGCGCTTGGAGTCAGGAACAGTTAAGTTCAAATCCTGCTTCAGATGCATGTTGTGTGACCTTGGGCAAGTCATTTAATCTATTGGCCTCAGTTTCCTCAACTGTAAATTGGAGATAATAATAACACCTATCTCCTGAAGGCACAGTGCCCCGGCACATAGCAGGTGCTTTATAAATGCCTATTTCTTCCTTCTGTTAAACAGAAAAGATAGGACCTGAACTTATTATTTTAATAATATAAAGAATGCCTGGGAGGCAGCTAGGTGGACAAGTGGATAGAGCACGCTCCTTGGAGTTAGGAGGACCTGAGTTCAAATTCGGCCTCAGACACTTACTAGCTGGGTGACCTGGGCAAGTCGCTTAACCCCATTGACAACAACCCCCATCAAAAAAAAAAAGGCCTGGAGGAAGAAACTCCCTCTGCCAAGGGGGTGGACATCTCTGCAACTTGGAGTTTCGTTTGAGGATTGCTGCTCTATAGCACAGAGAAGTTAATTGGCTTGCTCAAAGTCACACAGCCAGTATAATGTCAGAGGTAGGACTCGAACCCTGGCTTCCAGGCCACCTCTCTATCCACTATCGTATTTATATAAGTAGGCTCACATCATGAATAAAATCCAAATTGTACCTTAAGGAGTGAGTGGTGGTGGTGGTAGGGTGTATACGCGCGCGCGCGCGCGCGCGTGTGTGTGTGTGTGTGTGTGTGTGTGTGTGTGTGTGTGTGTGTGTGTGTGTGTGTGTGTGTGTGTGTGTGTGTGTGTGTATAGGAGGGGGAGGAGGAATTGTTTTTGTTTTTTTTTCCACTTTCCTTTTCTTCCAGTCTCTAGGTGAATCTGCGTTATTAGATTAAGTAAGCGATGGGTGCTTCTGGAGCTCGTGCCCTCCCCCAGCCCCGGAGCTGCCCAGTTGCTGTCCCGTTCAGCTACACCCCACCCCCTTCTTCCCCCGGTACCCCAGGACTCCACCCCCAATGCCCCTCCTCCGCCCTCCTCCCGCCCCGCTCCTTCTCTGCCGGCTAGCTGCCCCACCTCCTGGGGCAGAGCCAGACGCCCTTGGCCATGATCCGGGCGGCAGTGTGGGGCGCCCGGGCTGGGGCGCGGCCCGGCTGGGGGGCGCCCTGGGGCCTCCCTCTCTTCCTTGGGCTGCTGCTGCTGCTGCAGGCGGGAAGGCCGGCCAGCTCCGTCAGCCCCGCCGCGGGGATAGCTCCTCTGCGCTTTAACGTGAGCCTGGACGAGGCGGCCACCCAGCGCTGGCTGCCCGTACTGCGGCACTTCGACCCCAAATTCCTGCGGACGGCCTTGGCCACCGTCATCGGGTCAGTGAGCGGCGAGCCCGGGGTTTTGAGGGGGGCGGGCTGCCGGGCTGGTGACCACCGGGGCTGGACACGGGCTAGGCCTGGCATGCGAGCTCCAGCTCTGTCAGCTAGGCAGTGCAATGGAAGTGGAAAAGGCTCGATTGGAATCAGAGCATCTGGCTTCGAACACAGGCATCTGGTTTCTGCTGCTGGCTGTGTTACCTTAAATAAGTCACCCAACCACTCTGGGCTTCAGTTCCCTCCTCTGCAAAATGAGGGGATTGGGTTAGGTGACTTCTTCTAGCTCTAAATCTCCTCCTGTGATCCATACAACTCTGAAATTTTGTGGACCACTTCCAGCAGTGATACTGTTTTCTTTTGCGTTCTTCCCCAACTGGGTGTAGCCCTACAAAAAAGGGTGGGAATGACACTAGAAGAATTACTAATTAAATATGATGACAAGTGGTGACAGGTAAAAAGGGAGTGTCTGCCATCCATCCATCCTCTGAGAACTGCACTCCATTCAGTCCCACGAGAGGAGAAGGTGGGCTTGTATAGATCCTGAGGTCTGGATCTGGAATTAGACCCTTAGACCCTCCCAGGGGTGGGGAACCTACTGCCTCGAGGCCACATGTGACCTTCTAGGTCCTCGGGAATGGCCTTTTGACCGAGTCCAAGTTTTCCAGAACAAATCCTTTTATTAAGGGGATTTATTCTGTGAAGTTTGGGTTCAGTCAAAGGGCTGCACTTGAGGACCCAGAAGGCCACATGTGGCCTCGAGGCAGTAGGTTCGCCACCCCTGGTCTAGTCCAACACCACTTTACAGATGAGAAAACTGAGGCCAGAGAGATCAAGCGGCTAGCCCCAGGTCACATAGGTACCAAGGGCTAACACTGGAATCCTGTCCTAAATCCCTGATTCCAAATCCAGTGTCCTTCTCACTACGTCAGACTGCCTCTAGATCATGTAGTCATTTTACAGCTGAGGAAATTGAGGCTTACATGACTACTTTGCCCAGCGTCACCCAGTAAGAAACAGAAGCCTTCAGAAAGCTCTGACATCTGTTTCCCCCATCCATCCTTTTCAGAAAGATGAGTGAACATTTGCTTCTGTGTCTTTTTCAGGGAAACTGTCCCGAGCTGGGTTCGTGATGTGCTCAGACCAGTGGCCTTAGAGTTGGACAAGTTCCTGCCTCAGCCCTTCGAAAGCGAGATTAGGGGAATGTGCAATATACTGGGCCTAAATGTTGGAGACTGTGTCCTCATCAATCTTGCCTATGAGTTCAGCGCGTGAGTATCTCTTCAGATTCTAGCCCTCAGAAACTAGCAAGGACCAGAGGTAAAATCTCGGAATTATTCTCACTTCCCTAGGTGGCACAGTGGATAGAACCCTGGGCCTGGCATCAGGAAGGCCTATGTTCAAATCTGATTTTGTGACCCTGTCTTCATCTCTGCCTACCTCAGTTTTCTTTCTTTTTTATTCAATATTTTATTCTCCCAATTACATGTAAAAACATTTTTTAATGTTCATTTAAACATCTTTTTAAGTTTCAAATTCTCTCCCTCCCTCCTCCCACATTGAGGACAAGTGATTTTATATGGGTAATACGTGTGCAGTCTTGCAAAACATATTTCCATGTTAGTCATGTTATGAAAAAAAATACCGACAAAAAACCCCCAAGAAAAATACAGAAAGTACAGAAAAAGTATCTTCTATCTGCATTCAGACAACATCAGTTCTTTCTCTTTGCCTCAGCTTTCTCAGCCATTATATGGGGATAATAATAGTGCCTAGCTGTGAGGATCAAATAAGATATTATTTGTAAAGTGCTTCTTAGTACAACATAGTACAACATTGGAAAAAAAGAAGAAAAACAAACTTGTGTAACAAATATTCACAGTCAGACAAAATAAATTCCCTTATTGGCTTTGGCTGTGTCCAAAAACTCTACCATGTTTCTCCCCCGAGTCTATCCCCTTTCTGATAGGAGGTGGGTGTCAGGCTTCATTGTTGGGCATCTGGATTGGGGCATTCCCAATACTGTCTCTGCTATACCATATTGCCTGCTTATAATATTTCAGAGATATAATTAATTATTATTAAAGAATATTAATATGATTAATAACATTTAAAACATGATGGTAGCAGCAATTTGTCCAGTACTTTGTGGTTTTTACAGCTCCACAGATATTATTTTACTAGCTAATCACAACAATCTTGTATTACAATCTTGTTTTTCCTATAATAAGTAATATTTTTATAGTACTTGAATTTGCAAAGTAGTTGACATACATTATCTAAATTTGATGCTCACGACAACCCTTTGAGGAAGGTACTATGGGTATTATCATCATTTTATAGATGAGGAAACTGAAGTTTAGAGGGAGTGAGTGACCTGCCCATCATCACACAGCTAGTAAGTATCAGAGGTGGAATGTGAACTCGGGACTTTCCTGACTCTAACCACTAGAGAATGCTGCCTGCACATGAGACTGAGGAACAGAGATGAACCGTTTATAGTGTTATAATGGGGGTTAGATTCCTGATCAGGAATGGTTGTTAACTGCTCAGACTATATTTCAGTTCAGCAAACAAATATTAAATGCCTGTGTGCAGAGCAAGGCACTTAACAGGAGTGGGGAACCTGACTGCTCGAGGCCTTCTAGGTCCTAGGGTATGGCCTTTTGACTGAGTCCAGGTTTTACAGAACAAATCCTTTTATTAAAGGGATTTGTTCTGTGAAGTGTGGGTTCAGCCAAAGGGCTGCACTTGAGGACCTAGAGGGCCACATGTGGCCTGGAGGCTGCAGGTTCCCCACCCCTACTGGGGACAGAAAGAGAAGGAATAGCATCTATACAGAGCCTACCATGTACCAGGCACTGGGCTCAGTGCTGTCCAGATATTATCTCATTTGAATCTCACAACAACCCTGTGAGATAAGTGATATTGTTATCTCCATTTTGCAGTTGAGGAAACTGAGACCAGTGGAAGGTAAGTGACTTACTTGCCCAGGGTCACACAGCTAGTGTCTGAGGCTAGATATGAACTCAAGTCTTCCTAACTCCAGAGGCAGCTGGGTGGCACAGTGGATAGAGAACACTAGGTTGGAGTCAGGAAGACTCATCTTTGTGAGTTCAAATCTGGCCTCAGACACTTACAAGGTGTGTGACCCTGGGCCAGTTACTTAATCCTGCTTGCCTCAGTTTCCTCATCAGTAAAATGAGCTAGAGAAGGAAATGGGCAAACCTCTCCACGTATCTCTGCCAAGAAACCCCAAATGGGGTCATGAAGAATTGAACACAACTGAAAAATGACTGAATAACAACTTCAGGCTTTACCCACTCTACTGCCAAGCTCTGGATGAAATATGTCCCTTTTTGTCTAACAGACATAAAGCACATGGGCAGATAGCCAACATATACAAAAATACATGCTAAGTACTTAAAGAGGTATCCAATAAAATGCCACGTGACATCCAAGGAGGGATGTTATTGACAGTGGGCGGGTGGGGTGGCAGGAGGAAACAGGGAAGGCTGAATGAACAAATGGACTTTGATTTAAAAGGGGGTGGTAGGGTAGAACACCAGCGCTGGAGTCAGGACGACCACTGGCCACAGACATTTACTAGCTGTGTGACCCTGGGCAAGTCACTTAACCCTGATTGCCTCAAAAAATAAAAAGGTGATATAGATTCTTATTCCTATATTTGTATTTGTGCTATGATCATATTTATAAGTTAAACACATATAGTGTATGGAAATCACATAAGCTTGGCAAAAAAGCAAATTCTAGCTTTACTTGTACCGCAACACATCAGAAATTAAAGAAATAGCTTCATTGGGGTCTCAGAATTCAAAAGAATTTAGGGGGTAAGTGATCCAGAAATTTTTGAAGAAACATTTTTGAGGATGCTGACTGCTTATGGACTTTTAAAAAATGAGCTAGATGTAGGGAAATGTGGCTGGCTCCTTTCTCTTATTGTATATTTTCTGTAACAAGTATAGATGTTAGAGAGCAGAATCTGTGGCCTCCAAATTGGCTGGTTGATGTCTGTTTGGTTTGTGTGCTGTCTGCCACACATGCATGTCACCGGCCAGTTGTACAGCCACAGGAGAATGAATCTGTCTGGGCCTGGCTTCAGTGGCTTCCTGTGCTCTGATAATAATATACAGTGGAGCATAATCATGGTGGCATTATTGGCTTTAACTATTAAATGATGCCCAGAGAAAAAATGTTAGTTATTATTTTTTTCAATGAATAAGCATTTATTTTCTCCCACCTCTTCCTTTCTTGTTGGAAAAGAAAAAGAAACAAAATCCTTGTCACAAATATGCATAGTCAAGCAAAACAAAGTCCCACATAGGTGTTGTCCAAAAACATGTGCTTCATTCTGCATCTTGAGTTGTCGTCCCTCTGTTGGGAGGCAAGTAGTAAGCTTTGTCATCGGTTCTGTGGACTCGTGGTTGGCCACCAAACTGATCAGAGTTCTTAACTCTTTCAGAGTGGTTCATTTTTATAGTATTGTTGTTACAGCATAAATTGTTCTCATTCTATTCACTTCACTCTGCATCAGTTCATGAAAGTCTTCTCAGGTTACTTTGAAACCATCCTTTTCATCATTGGTATTCTATTACATTCATATGTCATAATTTGTTCATTTTCTAAATGATGGGCAACCCCACCTCCTTAGTTTCTGGTTCTTTGCTGCTACAGAAAAAAAGCTGCCATAAACATTTTTGTACATTTGGGTCCTTTTCCGCTTTCTTTGAAGAGATAGAGAAGTGAAGAGTATCTAGATTACTCATAAGCAATCATGGCTACATTATATTCCTTGACTCAGTTATCTCCTTAACCATGAGGATGCAATCAATGGCCAAGAACCAGAGCTGAAGGGCAATACTTTGCAGATTGGGACTTCTCTGTCCAGCACTTGCATTGAACAGACAAACTATTTGGGTGCAACTAATTTTTTTTTTACTATAGTGTCACTCAGTTCTTTAAAAAAAATTATTGTGACCTTTGCAACCATCAACAAACAAACATTTCAAGATAAAAATAATAGGGAAGAGGAATGTGTAAGAATTTTAAAAAAGTTTTGGTTGTATTGAACTTCATGAACACTCAATAGTGTCAACATTTCCATATACAAAGAACAGAAAAAGGATTAAATTTGAAACCAGGAATCTCTATTAAATACAACTTTCTTCTAAAAAAGTAAATAATAAATGTAAGACATTCATTCCAAGCCATGCTTCTGATCTGTTTCTCTCTTTGAACTGCCTTTCTTTTCTGTCATTTCAAAAGTTTAAAAATCTTCATTGACATTTTTTTTCTTTAGTCTTCAGGAATTACTATAACCAAAAACAAACAAAAAAACCCCAAAGAGACCCCAAAACAAAAATTAATTTTCTTGTGACCAGTTGGCTTATGACAGACCTTTTCAGGTCATCTGAGATGGCTGTGATATGACAGAAATGCTTAGTTGCTGCAGCTACGCAGTTCTCTCTTAGTAGGACCTAGGAGACCATGTGCTCCATTGGAACTATCTTTTTAAAAAAATTATATTTTATTTTTTCCCATTACATGTAAAGACAAATATTAATATTCATTTTTTTAAAATTGTGTTCCAAATTTTCTTTCTCCCTCCCTTACTCCTTCTCACCCCTACCCCAAGACAGTAAGCAATTTGATATAGATTATACATGTATTGGAACAGTCTTTGAGAATCAAGATTCACCTCCCCATCTCCATGATACATCGGAGTGGGACTCTTATTGAGTTCAAATGATGACAAATGAGTCAAAATACTCAGAAAATTGTACTTTCTTTTATTTTTATTTTTAGAAAATTGTACTTTCAAAAGGACTGAACAATTGTAAATGTACATTTGTTGGCAGGGATAAGATCATATTTTTCAACTTTGGAGAAGTAGGAGGTAGTTTGCTTATGAAAAAAATTATTAAAAAAAACTGAAAATATATTTTTCCTTCCTCTTTTTTGCTTTCTCATTTCCTCACATTGGTGTGGCTCCTTTCCCCACCCCTCTGGCTTTTCTTCTCAGATTCTGCACCAGCATCATCGCCCAAGATGTCCATGGCAACATTTACCATGGTCGGAACTTGGATTATGCATTTGGAAATCTTTTGAGAAAATTGACAATCGACGTGCAGTACATAAAGAATGGGCAGGTACAGTGGGAGTCTGGTGTGAACCGATGCTGCCCTCAGTGAGAAGAACAGTATCCAAATGTGCTTTCAGTATAGAACATGGAAGTTAGGGGACTCGGTGACAGTGTCAAGGGTCTTCTTGCAAAATGGAAGGTCATCTTTTACCTTCACACCCCGGTGAACTCTCTCTTTTCATTCAGATCAGCTGGTTAAAAGGAAGCAATCATTATTCTCCCAAGCCTAATTGACTAGTAGCCCTGCTTACCAATCTCTTGTTGATTAAAAAAAAAAGCCCAATAGAAAGAAAACATCTGTTTTTCAGTCTTCTCATGTTAAAATGTAAGTACTTTTTAAAAACAATTTTTATTAAATATAAGTAGCGTAGTTGGTTCTGGGGAGCTGAGCAAAACCAATCCACAAACTTTTATTAAGTTCCTACTGTGTGCTGAGGACCTGCTTGGCACTGGGGACACGATTACAAAGAATGAAATATTTTTCCTAGCAATGAGACTACATTCTAACAGAGAATATGCAAAAAAAACAAAACAAAAGAAAACAAAACCAAAATTATGTATATTAAGGATAATAAAGACAGCTATGTGGTACAGTGGGATAGAGTGCTGGGCCTGGGGTCAGGAAGGCTCATCTTCCTGAGTTTCAAATCTGGCCTCAGACACTAGCTATGTGATCCTGTGCAAGTCACTTGACCCTGTTTGCCTTGGTTTCCTCATCTGTAAAATAAACTGGAGAAGTGTGATAAATGAAAAGTTCGAGACATAATTTCTGGGTAATTAATAATAACATTTATTAATTCTGGCTAGTAAATAATTAATAGATTGATGTCTGTGGCTTTCTCTTATAAACCAAAGATACCCTTTGGAGATTACCGAATGCTTTAAAAAGCCTTGGAAAAGGGGAAAATCAACTTTGATTAGTTAACAATCAATGAGGGGGCAGATGTATTATTGAGGAAGTGGTCAAAAAGTCTTCTGCTCCTTCTGCTGAGAATGTGACCTAATCATGAGACTAAGCCGCCTCCAGTAATCTGTACAAAAGAATCCAGCTCTTTCCAGACCACTCTGGCTGGTTTTCTCCTTCATAAACTCAGTCATTCTAAATCTAATAGAACATTCCAACGTCAAGGGCATATTTCCTAAGGGCAAGATCTCACCTAGACTGGATTCTATTTGTAAGGTCTTCTAGTTGGGTGGGGTCCCACCTAAGATACAAAAGGATCTGTCCACAGGCTGAATAACCTATAGGGGCTGGTTTCTGAATGAGGAAATAGGAAGGAAAAAATCTTACTTCAATAATTGGTTATTAAGATGAGAGAAATAATTTCTCTCATTAGGAAATGGCAAACCACTTCAGCATCTTTGCCAAGAAAACTCCAAATGGGGTCACGAAGAGTTGGACACAACCGAATACCATCATCATCACTTCTCGGTGTTGTGAGGGAGAAAATGAGATAACATTCGTAAAGGTCTTCACAAACCTTCAAGCATCACATCAGTGTCAGCCATTCTAGTTCTGAAGCCTGCCATCCAATGAGAAAAAAGCCAAGGAGCCAGGAACCTTGGATTCTTATTTATCAGCCACTAGATCATGGGTAATTCCTATTGCCTCTCTTCACTGCAATGTCCTCATCAGCAAAATGAAGCTGTATCATCCACACTTCCTCACAAGGATCTTAAAAGAATGATATGAAATAATATATGTAAACGAACGTTTGTCGCTGTGCTTTTCTGCTACATCTGCTACATTTATTGAACAAACATTTATTAATCAACTGCTATGTCCAGTTCATAACTTATATCCCTAACATATAATTATACAATTCTATGACAGATAAGAATCTGGTGTTGACTTTATTCCAAGGTCCCATATATGTATATGAATCATGGGCATATAAGAATGTAATTTAGCTTGCAAAAACTCAATGCAAGTTCAGGACCATCTCTAACATGTGTAGTTGGGTACTTGGTGCAGTGTGATGCATCTACCAGGAAGGTTTTTCAGTTTGTTAGGAATAATAAGTCAACATTAACATGGCACTTAGAGGTTTGCAAAGTACTTTTACCCACACTATATCATTTATTCCTTTTTGTCATTTGTTGTTCAGTTGTTTCAATCATGTCTGCCTCTTTGTGACCCCATTTGGGGTTTTCTTGGCAGACATACTGAAATAGTTTGCCATTTCTTTCTTCAGCTCGTTTTACAGATGAGGAAATCAAGGCAAATAAGGTGAAGTGACTTGCCCAGGGTCACACAGCTAGGAAGTAGCTGAGGCCAAATTTGAACATAGGAAGATGAATCTTCCTGATTCCAGGCCTGATGCTCTATATACTGCAGTATCACCTAGCTGCCCATTTGTTCCTTACAACAACCCTCTGAGATAGGTGTCATTGTATCCATTTTTCAGATGAGCCATCTGAGGTTTAGAGGGGCTGTTACTTTCCCAGTATCTCACAGCCTGTACGAGTCTGAGTCTGAGGTGGGATTAGAATCCAGGCCTTCTGATTCCAAGCTGAGAGCTCTGTCCGCTATTCCAAGCTGTTAGTGGTAGGTTAGATCATCTCTGTTTTATTGTTGGGAATAGGAAGGTAGGACTCTTATCTAAGCACTCAGGGAGTCAGGGAAAATCCATTAGTAGAATCCAGGCTTCTCGACTTCTAATTTAGTCTACTAAATTAATAAACTTTCTGTTTTCTGGGTCAATCGTGAAGTGGGCTCATTTTGTACACCCAAAGAACTCATTCTTTTATTCCTTATTTATGCCTCACAGTGAGAGGATGAGGGAGGAACAGTAGCTGGTATTATTCCTAAACCATTATTGAGGAAACTGAGGCAAGACAAGGTTAAGACATTTATGGGAGCTATTCTCTGAAATGATGTGCTTGAGGTCATGGAATTTGGAGTCAGAAGACCTGGGTTTGAATTCCAAATCTCCCATTTTCTACCTCGGTGACCTTGGTCATTTCCCTACCTTTACATTTCCTTTTCCTTATCTCTAAAATGTTTGATTGTATGATGTCTAAGGTCCCTCAAGATCTAAAATCATATAATTATTTGATTTGGGGTTAAGGTGAGAGGGCATCATTTACCATCTCAAACTGGTACCACTTTGGTATCTTTTTAGTAGGTGAATAAGAGTGAAATTAAAAAAAAAGAACGAAGGTGAAACCATGTTGCTTCCCACTCCTAATCTCCAGCATTGTTTAAATTCAGCTGATTAATTTTTGTCTTATAAACAAGTGAGGAAGTTTGTAAATGATGACAGCTAGCTGGCATCTCTCTTCTAAAGCCATTGTAGAATTATGTACTTTTTACTAAAATTCACAGGAATATTGAGTAGGAGAGAAAAGGGAAACACACAGTAAATCTATACTATAATATTTGGGGTAAGAAGTATAAATAATCTTGTTTCCTTTGATTTCAGATTGCATACACAGGAACTACATTTGTTGGTTATGTAGGTTTATGGACCGGACAAAGTCCAAAAAAGTTTACCATTTCTGGTGATGAGCGAGGTAAGCAGATGGACTTTTTTAGGCTTTTAATAGGCTTATTGACTATTCTGCCTACAGCTTTAGCACCCTAAACACAGTCAATGTTGGAAGTTAAGCATGGCCATATCTGAATACCTGAATATCTGAACAGAAGACTGCCTGTGCTGGAGGCACAAAGCTGAGAGGCAGCAAAGCATGGTGGGTAAGAGCTGCGTCAGGGTCAGGAAGACCCGACTTCAAGTCTGCCCTCTGACACACTTGAAAGACAAAGCCCACCCTTGGGTCTTAAACATTATCTACTCACAAGAGGCATTAGCCTTCCTTAGACTTTTCTTGCCCTCCTTTTCTCTTTCCCCTCCTTTACCTTCCCTTTCTGTCTCTTATATGTATCCTTTTTCATTCTTATTTCACCGATAAGCTCCTTACATAGGACAGCTAGCTCTTTAAGACAGCCTTGGTTTTTTTTTCTTCTTTTTCCACATTGGAATTAATGGTAACTGTTGGTAACATGAGAACCTCTGGTTGGTAAGCGTGAGAACCTTTCACACTTCTGGAATCTCAGGTCATAGGACTGATCATACCGAGCTTCTGTCTGAACTTTTCGCAATTGAATCCTTTCCAAGCTGGGCTGCATCTGCGTGTCAGACTGTGCCTGGTATACTTCTTATCTACCATGAACCCTAAGATGGTGTGGTATCTCCTCAAATTCTTGGTGCTGGTGTTTTTTTTCAAATCAGTCATTACTTTTTGTTTAAAATTCATAAACTCGGTTCTGTTCTTGAGTCCAAGCATTTTTGAATCATTTTTCATGAGGTCACAGATTTAGACCTTTGAAGCTGTTTACTCCAACTCCCTCACCTTACAGATGAGTAAACAGAGGCCCAGATAAGTAAGATGACTTGCTCAGGGTCACACAGGTAGTAAATAGCAGAGCTGAGATTTGAACCCAGGTTCTCTGACTTTGAATTTTCTCTGAGGTTATTGATATACTCATTCTTAGAAAAAATTCCCTACCTTTTTGTACAGGGAAATTAATAAGGTATGATGGATAAACAAAAAAACTGCCCTCAGAGTCAGGAAGACTTGAGTTCAAGTACTGCCTATGGCTGTGTGACCCTGAACAAGTCACTTAATTTCTAATGCATCCTAAGGAACTTTTGAAGTTGCAGAGCAGATGCTGACCTGTTGGTAGAAGTTTCCTCAAGGGAATTCCCTATACATATGAAATTACAGTTCCAGTATCTACCCACTTCCTTCCTACAGAAGCGACAACACTGGTAAATAAGGGGTCTGGTGTAAAACTTGCGTGAACCACTGCAGTTTGGGGTGGGGTATGCTTATGATGAGATCAATTGTACTTGCCTGGTAGATTCATGTGTATAAAGAAATTGTCGTACCCTGGTTACTGGAACACACAGACCTGACTAATTCCCAGCGACTGAATGTTACCCAACATTTGGCCTACTGGGACTCATCCTTCTTCTAACCATATACCTTCTGCCAAGTCTTCAGCCTGTGTATTCAGGAAATAAAATGGAAACTAACTAGATTTGGGGACTTTTAAAAGAATGCCATTTGAGCAGCATATATGGAATTGCTAATTCTTTATTTTTATTAATTTTACTATGTAGTGATCAATATACTTCGCTCCTGCCCCAATATTCTTTCCTCAATTTTGTAGATAAAGGTTTTTGGTGGGAGAATGCAGTAGCAGCCCTTCTCAGAAAAAATTGTCCCGTGAGCTGGCTTGTCAGGAATGTAAGTATGTTTTCTGTCAGGCGTGTCCATGTTAACTTTGATTTCTGTGCTGCAATTCACATTCTGATGTCCCATACTTTATACACATGTTTCTAAGATGGGGAAGCTACATTATACAAGCACCTGTGCAGTTACTTCGGTATTTGCAAAGTCCTCGAAAACTTTGAGGTTAGTGTTTTCAGCAAGACCCTGATGACGGGAGGCAGGTGACCAGTAGCAAAGTTTTACAGGACTTTTTTGTTGTTTGGCTTCTGATGGCTCAGAGTGAGTGTAAATAGCAATTATTTCTGTTCTGACCAGAAATTTTGAGGGTCTTCCCTTACCAGACTGGTTCTTTTATATAGGCAAACTAGGCCATCTTTTGCCTCAATTCTTACTAAGCCTTTAACTACTGAATGGGTGTTGCCTCAGACAACTGAGACCTGGGAAAGACCTTAGCTCAAAATGGCCACGGTCTCCCACTGCATCCTGGGCCATCGCCAGTTGTCCTGACCTGTGTCTTGCTACTGGACCCTGAGGATTATGGAGGAGAGAATGAGGCTGATGACTTTGCACAGCCTTGCCTCGCTCAAATCCAATTGACTTACAAGATATAATCTTCCTGATGTCATTGGTTCTCTTCAAGAATAAAGGACAAACAAGATATATAATATATGTCATCAAGAGGTGATTGCTTCTTCAAATCTCTTCTGGACTCACTGAACCAATTTTTAAAGGTCGCTAGGAGTCATCTCTACCATCCTTTATCCTATGACTTATTGCTTCCTATTGGATTCTTTCATGAAATTTACTTGTGCCTCATAAAGGATGACTTCATGTAGCTGCAGGTTTACAATATAAGACCTTGTAATTTGACCCCTTTTCTATGATTAAGTCTGACAAGACCAATTCTCTTATAATTAAGTTTGTAATAAAAAATAAATCAATTAAGTACCGCTCTAATTTGCAGGCACTTCTGTCACCCATTTGTGTAAGAGACCAGCATGTACAAGATCGATGGTTTTCATCTTTCTTTTTTGATTAGACCCTGGAAGAAGCTGAGAACTTTCAAGCTGCTGTGATCGAACTGGCCAAGACACCCATTGTGGCAGATGTTTACTACATTGTTGGAGGCGTGTCCCCCAAGGAGGGGGTGGTCATCACAAGAAATAGAGGTGGTCCTGCAGACATCTGGCCTCTTGATCCCACAAATGGAGAGTAAGTGGAACTGGGAGCTTCCTCTACCTGCTGACACCTGATACCTGTGAATCAATCAGATTCATGGAAAGTTCTGATGACCAATACTATTTTTACTATTTACTGTTAAATATTTTATTTGACATTTACATCAAATGTTAGTGGGCTCTAAATGATACAGTCAAAACTATGTGTTTCTGCCAGGCATGCCAAGGACCACTTTCTCAGGTTCTTTTTTTTTAATATCTTGTTTTGTAGGTGGTTCCGAGTTGAGACAAATTATGATCACTGGAAACCACCTCCCAAAGGGGACGATCGAAGGTACATTCTTGCAGGGTCTGGGACTGAGGTACTTTTGCCCTATTGAAAAGGATGCCTCTCTCACGCAGCAGCTTGGAAAGCCATAGAAGCCGAGAAGCATGTCTTCCCAGGAATATTTGTTTGGTTTGGATTTGATGATGCTATGGCTATTCAAAGAATGATACAGAAAAGTGTCTTCAGTAATCTCAGGAGAAGCCATTTAGCCAAAGACAAGTCTAGCCGCCTGGTTTTGCTGAGAGAGGCAATAGGGAGATTTGTTAGTGGAAGAACTACTCAGAAAGTAGGGAAGACAACTTGGAAATGAGGTCAGCAGGTGTTATTATCTTTCCCCCTAAATTGTCCTCTCTGCTGAATTCCCCTGCATCACTGTCCTTCCAGCCTTCCAGGTTCCTTACCTTGGCATTATGTTCTATTTCTCCGTCTCCCTTACCCCCCAGAGCCAGTCTGTTGCCAAGTCGTACCATTCCACCTGTACAACGTCTCTTGCAGCTACCATCTTAGTTCAGGCCCTCCTCATCTCTTGCTTGATTATTGTGGGACCTCTGAATAGATCTCCCAGCTTCAAATCTCTTCATATTCCAATCTTCCCTCCTGACGTGATTTTCCTTAATTGCAGAACCAACCGCTTAATAAACTCCTCTGGCTCCCTAATGCCTTAAGCTTCATCCTCTCTTCCCAGTCTCCTTATATAATACTCCCCTTCCCATACTCCAAGGCTAGGGCTCAGCCTTGTGTGTGTGTGTGTGTGTGTGTGTGTGTGATGGACCCCATCGGCAATCTAGTGAAACCTATGGACTCTCCAGAATAATGTTGTTAAATGTATAAATTAAAAGACTTAGGATAACAAAGATACCAATTATATTGAAATAAAGATATAATTTATATACAAATATAAATATATAATAATACAGATATATAAATAAAAAATATATATGGGTTTACAGACTCCTCCTCTCTTCTCCCCCACCACCAAACTCAATCCATGGATCTCATAGCTGGAAAGGCCGATAGTTGCTCTGCGGTCTAGCCAAACTGATATCCTCTCTGTTTCTCATACATAACACTCCATTCCTGTTTCTCTGCTTTTGAACCAGCCATCCTCTATGCCTGGAGTGCTTTGTCTCCTCACTTCCGTTTCTTAGGATTCCCGTTTTTCTTTGAGGTACAGCTAAAAGGGCCACGTCCCACATAAGAGGCCTTTCCTGTACTCTCTGTCTCTAGTGCCCTCCCTGACTACCTTGTACTTATTTGGTAGTTTTTCAACATATATTTATATATTTATAAATTGTCTTCCATGATAGAATATACCCTCCTTGAGAGCAGAGCCTAATTTTTTTTCTTTGTATCCCCAGATCTGGGCATGGCATCTAGCACAGAGTAGGGTAGGTGCTTTACAGTAAATGCTTGGTGATTGATTGATAGTGGAATGTTCCGGGGAACTGAGCTTGGCTTTGTGTTATTTAATATTTTCATTAATGATTTGAATAAAGGCATAGATGGCCTGCTTAGCAGCTTTGTAGATGATACAAATTTGGAGAGATATCGAATATCCTTGTTGACAAAGTCATAATTCAAAAATGTTTTGATGTGCTAAAAAAAGGAATTGATTCTAATTAGACAAAAATGAAGAGATCAATGTAAATTCATACATCTGGGTTCAAAAGTGAATTTCGTAAGTACATTCATGATTCATGCTAATTAAGACTCAGCTGTAGAAGGCAGAGGAGGCATGGTTAGATAAGTTTGTTTGGAAAAGAGATTTTAGTGGACCACATGCTCAGTATTAGTTTACATTGTTATGGCAGCCAAAAACGCCAATGCAATCCGGGGTGGCATTTAGAGAGGAATAAGTGCTGGGAATAAGAAGATATGAGAGCTCTGTTGTACTCTGCCCTCCTTCTGAAATATTGGGGTCAGTTCTGTAGGTGCCTGATTTTAGGAAGGATGTAGATAAACTGAAGGGCATCCAGCGTAAAGTAATCACGATGGTGAAGGGCCCTGTGCCCACGCCATGTTTGAAGGCATGAGTGTTAGAGTCCAGGGAAGGGAACAAGGTGGCTATCTTTTAGGATGCTTAGCAAATTTGCATGTGGAGGAGGGGTCAGACTGGTCCTGCCTAATCCAGAAGACAAAATCTGGAGCACTGGACAGAAGCTGCAGAGAGGAGAATTTAGACTGGGAGTCAGGAAAATTTCCTAGCAATGACAGCTGCCCCAAAGGCCAATGGGCCATCTCTCCATAGCCACTTGTTGGGTGGATTGTGGCGGGCGTTCTGTTTCAGGTTTACTAGATTCTCGTTCATGTCCCTTTCCACTACAAACTTTGTAATGTGTCTCAAACATCTCTCAAGGATTTTGTAATGGACAGATAACACTCAATGATCTCCCCCACAGAACACCTGCCATCAAGGCCCTTAATGCAACTGGACAGGAAAATATCAACTTTGATACACTTTTTAAGGTACCTTGAGTTTTTTTTTTAATTTTTGTACAAATGTTTCAGAAATCTATTAACATAACAAAATAGTGCCATAGAATGATAAGATTTGAAAACAAATGTAGCGGATTATGTTTGGTTAGACAGACTGATGAAATTATTTGTGTTGGAATGTTACCTAGCTGAAATAGTCTTACTTTTATTTGATTTTTAATAGAGGGGGTTGATAATTTCTGGACTTGATGTTTAGATGAAATAATTAAGTTACCCTCTTTCTTTCTCCCCACCCTCCATATCCAATTACTGTATTGTCTTAGCCCTTCTGTCCTACTTGTATTTCAGCTTTGTTTCAAAGAATTTGTGTATAATAGAATTTTCAAAGAATTTGTGTATAATAGAATTTTTTAAAAATTTTAAATGCAGGTTTTATCAGTGGTTCCAGTTCTGAACAAGTAAGTGTCTTCAATGTCATTGATTTTAAGAATGTCTTTTTTTTATTTAACATTTTATTTTCCCTCCAATTTCATGTAAAAACAATTTTTAACATTCTTTTTTTTTGTGTGAGGCAATTGGGATTAAGTGATTTGTCCAGAGTCACACAGCTAATGAGTATAATGTATCTGAGGCCGGATTTGAACTCAGGTCCAGGCTGATGCTCTATCCACTGCACCACCTAGCTGTCCAACATTCATTTTTCAAAAATATTGAGTTCCAGATTCTCTCCCTCATTGAGAAGGCAAGCAATTGGATATAGATTATATATGTGAATTCATGGAAAATTACTCATGTTGTGAAAGAAAATACAAACCAAAAACCAAAGCAAAACAAGAAAAATAAAGTAAAAAAGTTTGCTTTGATCTGCATTCAGACTCTACTAGTTCTTTCTCTGAAGATAGATAGTATTTCCATCAAAAGTCCTTCAGAATTATCTTGGATCATTATATGCTGAGAATAGCTAAGTCAAGAAATGTTTTTACCTATACTGGACGGGAATGGTCTCATGCTTTTCTCAGGGAACAAGGGAAATCTGTAGGAAAAATGGTGTTTGCCATCCATAGATATGAATTATCTTCATTTGTTATCCATTACAGAATATGGCTTTGGGCTTGTTTTGTTTCCTCCCCTATTGTTTACTTCTCAACTCCTTCCCATCTGACTTCTAGATCGATTGCTTGACTGACTCTTGCCCTCTGCAGTGTTATCAAGGGTCTCTTAATGGCTAAATCCAATGGCATTCTCTCAGTCTCTGTCCTTGTGAGCTCTTTGCAGCATTTTACATTGGTGACCACTCATTCTTCCTCAATACTCTCTTTTTTCTTGGCTTTCCTGATAATGCAATTTCCTATTCTCCTCCTACCTCTCTGGCCGTTCTTTCTCAGTCTTCTTTGCTGGATTATTATCCGCGTCCTATTCCTAGGTTCGGATATCCCTTTTAGTTCTCTCGTACTCTTTTCCTTTCTCTGTATTCTTTCTGTGGTAAGGGCTCTTTTCTGTTTTTTCTTCTTCTTCTCATTTTAAAGCCTGTTTTGTGATTTTTAAAGTTGAATTCTGTTCCTGGGGCACAGGGGTCTCTGTCCCAAGCTTCTTGTGCTGGGGGCTACAGGCCTGGTCATTGGCTTTCTGCACTGGGGCTTCAGGAGCTTACCCACTGTGCTGGGGTGGCCTGGGATAGTTGCACCTGTTCTGCTAGGGAGTTTTGGGGCTGGCAGTTTGCCTTCTGTAATGGAGCTGGAGGCCTCACAACTAACCTATTGTACTGATGGGGTTGGGACCTGGGCCCCAGAAAGGAAAAACCCTGGACTTTCCTACATGGCCATATCTCTGGCATTCGCCTGAGGCTATAATCCCATCAACTGGCCTTTCATTGTGGCTACACCCAATCTCCCCTCCATTGTCTTGCCTCCCTATGTCCCATTTCCCATTTCCCACACTTAATCCTAGCTAGGCTCCATTGTCCAGGTTTTAGCAGTTCTGTTCACCCCAGCTTATTGGCCACTCCCATCTAGATCTCCTTAGACCACTCCTCCAGTCACTCCAACTTACTTGGCCACTCCTAGATCCCTCCCACAGTCTTTCGGTATATTGGGTCCATCTTGTCTCCATTAAGATGCTGGGGTTCTTATAATCTAGCCACTGTTCAGATTTTCACAATCTAGCCAATATCCCATAGATGCTCAGATTCCTTAAGAGTCTGGCTAATATGATGAATCTTCAATAAACCTTGTTTTTGGCTGAAAGAAGGCTTGGGTCAAATTTTTCGGGCAGGACCTGTGTCTCGTGATTTTGGGGTTCCAGGACCCCTAACCTCTAGACCTTGCCATATGGTTCCCTGCACTGGGTAAAACTGCCTGTACCAAGCTCTTCACCAGCCAGGACTGGAAGGTATGTAAGCCTCCCCTCTTCCCCTAATCCCTTTTTTCCCTTTTTAATTGGGTGGATTTCCAAGTAACTAGGAAGGCTTGGCTTGGAAGTGCTTTTCGGGCCTGACCTCTCAGGTCCCATTAGGTCAGACAGCTACAATGTTGTCTTGAACTCAGCCTGACGCTCTCAGGCTCTCGGTCCAGTGGTTCTGTTCAAGACCATGGACGTAGGAAGAATCGTAGCTCAATCCTCTCAATTCTCTCAGTGCTAGGGACTTGGGAAAACTTAACATGCTTCTTTGGGTTTTTGACTTTTTTGTCTGTTTCCTGAGTCGTATTCCTAAATCTTCTTTTCAGGACACCCGCAAAGGGTCAATCCTCTTCAATTCCTGAAGATTTGCCTTTGGGCTGTCTTTTGCGAAATTGGGAAAAATTTAGTTTTTCTAAAGAACTAAAAAAGACAAGGCTGGTATTCTTTTGCAGCACCATTTGGCCTCAGTATCACCTGGAAAATTATGAGGCATGACCCATTTTTGGGACATTTCAGCAAAATATGCTCTCAGATTTAAAACAATATTATAGCAGAGAAGAAAAATGGGTGGAGATTGTCTACATAATGACTTGTTGAACTTTCTTGTGACCCCATTCTCAGAAAAGATTGTAGGATGCTCTTAGCTAGAGCCACCCCACAAACAGGGATTGGGGATCAACTAGGCTTTTTGGATGACCCACTTTTTATGGAGGCTATAGCACCTCCCTCATGTTGTAAAGAAGAATGAGAAGAAATAGGAGGAACCACAAGAAAGAAGAAACAAAACAGAAGGAAAAAAAAGCAAATAGTATCCTTCAATCTGCATTTCATGTTGTTTGAAGGGAAACTGGGGAGAGCTCAGGCAACTTCCTGGCTTTTCTCCACCATCTTAGCTCCCTTGGGCAATCTAATCAAAGAATGTATCCCCATCCAAACCTGAGTAGAGTGTAATGGGCTTCCCTACCTGGGTGGGGTCTGAACAAGATTGAGGAGAAAGTTAATTCAATTGCATTATCAGCAATGTCCTTCAGAGACCTAACAACCTACAGGCTTCTGAAAAAATCCTGGTCCTAATTCAATTACTGATTATTAATATTAGAAAGGAATAATCATTTCTCTCACATTTCAGTCTTTGTACTCTATTTATCAGAGGGTCTCACCTAGGCTATGTGATCTTGGGTATGTGTGTATGTGTGTGTATGGGGGGTATATGTATGTATGTGCACATATGTACACATATAGAGATCTATTTAGATATTGACAGATAGAGAGATCTATCTATATCAAAGGAGTGAAGGTTCTTAACATTTTTATGTCCCAGACCCCTTTGGCAATCTGGAGAAGCCAAAGTATCTCTTCTCCAAATAATGCTTTTTAAATGTATAAAGTAAAATATATAGGGTTAACTTCCAAGGCTATATCCCAAAGAGATCATAAAAATGGGAAAAAGACCCGCATGTGCAAAAATATTTATAGCAGCTCTTTTTGTGGTGGCAAAGAATTAGAAATTGAGAGGATGCTCATCAACTAGGGAATGGCTGAGCAAGTTGTGGTATATGATTGTGATGAAATACTATTGTGCTATAAGAAATGATGAACAGGTAGACTTCAGAAAAACCTGGAAAGACTTGTATGGACTGATGCTGAGTGAAGTGAGCAGAACCAGGAGAACGTTGTACACAGTAATAGCCACATTGTGGGATGACTAATGTTGATAGACTTAGCCCTTCTCAGCAATGCAAGGATCTAAGACGTCTCCAAAAGTCTCATGATGGAAAATGCTATCCACATCCAAAGAAAGAATTATGGAGTTTGAATGTAGATTGAAGCATACTATTCACTCTTTTTTTTCTTCTGTTGTGTTTTGTTTCCTCTTTCTGGTGGTTCCTCCTATTGGTTCTAATTCTTCCTTACAACATGACTCATGTGAAAGTATGTTTAATAGGAATGTAGAGCCTATATCAGATTGTGTGCCTTCTTTGGAGGGAGGGGAGGAGGGAGGGGGAGAAAATTTAAAACTCAAAAGCTTATGTAAGTGAATGTTGAAAACTAAAAACAACTAAATTAATTTTTAAAAGCCCCCCAAAAATATATATAGGGTTACAAAGGAAACCAGTTATATTGAGATAGTTATCCATCTATTACTTGTATATGTATAAAATGTATATAAATAATGCTTTTAAATATATAAATTATTTTAACATAGATATTTTATTTTATACATAATATATCACAAAATGAATATATGATATACATATATTTTATTATAGAAATAATGTTTTATTATATAATACTGTAATAATATAATAAAATAAATAATATAGATAAAGCCTGAGGCAGACCTATGTCTTAGACAAGTGAATTGCCAAAGATCATCCCGTACACCAATATCTATTTATTTTGTCTCTCCTGATAGAATTAAGCTCCATAAAAGGAGGAATTTTGTTTAATTTGTTTTCTTTGTATTCCCAGTGCCTAACAGTGCCTGGTACATAGCAAACACTTAATAAATGTTTGTTGATTGATTAATTACCTTCTATGTGTAATGAGCCATGCTAGGTGCTGATGAAGATGCAACATTTAGAAAGGCAGTGTGGCAGAACAGATAGCATGCTGGTCAGGCAGACATGAGTTAGAATCCTGCCTCTAACACTAGCTATGGGCAAATCACTTGCTTCACTTAGCCTCAGTTTCTTCATCTGTAAATTGTATAGATGAGAGAATCACCTGTATTACCTATCTCATAAGGTTCTAATAAAATTCAAATAAGATAATCTGTGTAAAGCTTTCTATAGACTGAAAAGCATCTTGCAAACCTTAACACGCTAGGTAAGCATCAGCTATTATAATTTTCGTTATTACTTCCCGTTTATATCATATATACCTTGGATGCATAAAGCTGTCAGCATATTATCTCCCCATTACAATGTGAGCTACTTGAGGGCAGGCGTTGTATTGTTGCCTGTTTTTGTTTTCCCAGCGCTCAGCGGGGTGCTTGGTACACAGTAAGAGCTTAATAAACACTTGTTTATTAATTATTATATACAACACAATCCCTCCCCTATTGCAGGCCTACAGCCTAGAAGGGGAATAAGTTATAAACACAGATAACTATAATAATATTGTATTTACTATAATTATAATAGTAATATATAGATGATAATAATATTACATGATAAGCATATTAGTAGCACTATCAGTCCTTAAACCCAGGCTTTCTCATCCCAGATTTGGTGCTCCTTCTGCTTACTAGAACACATTGCCTATCCTTGGCATATATGCTGACATATGTATTTGTACATAGGGCTCTCTGTGTGTGTGTGTGTGTGTGTGTGTGTGTGTGTGTGACTTAAGCCTGTGAGAAGTATTTTCTTTTTTTGTGGAGGCAATCGGGGTTAAGTGACTTGCCCGAGGTCACACAGCTAGTAAATATCTGACGCTAGATTTGAACTCAGGTCCTCCTCATTCCAGGATTGGTTCTGTATTTACTACACCACCTAACTGCCCCATGAAGGGTCCTTTCAGTTGCAGTGAGTTAGTATTCATATGGAAGGACTTTGAAAATATTTATTTATCTTCTATATAATACATGGACTCATGAGTAACCTTGCACAATTACACCATTTCCCCAACTCTTTATTCCTGGCCAAGAGATTGCTCACAATCAGTAGACATCAGTACTCTGGAACGTATGCACCTGCTTGGGACAAGCTGGAATGTGCGAGTGGTTATTCCTGGCTTAGGGCCCTTTGGGAGCTTTGATCAGGCTTAAAACTACATGGCTAGGATCATAGTAGCATCATGGGTATGCACAGAGTAGGAGGAATCAACCAGTCAGCTGCTCCAGCATCACTGAGTGTGCAAAGGATGCAGAGAGATGTCCAATGTGCCTAATGTTAGCTCTACCATTAGGGACTTGGGCTCTGAATTTGAAGTGCTTATGTCACAGATGCCCTGCCGGCCCATCACCCAGAAGAGGTTTATGTGAGCATGGTTACCTGATTATCTTGCTTTTATCTCCATCAGAGATGATGATAGGCGTGGACAATCCTTTCTCTCTTTTTCTTTCAGTTTAACAATTTATACAACAGTAATGAGCGCTGCAAAGCCAGACAAATATACAACTCAGATCAGAAACTGAGGGCTAAAAAAGTAAGTAAAAACAGGAGGGAATTTAATTTAACCATAAAAATTGCTGAAGAAATGCCCATTGTTTCATTGGTGGAGATTTTTCTTGCAAAGGAAAGGAACCCTACGTCACATACTTGACATGAGATAGGAAGGTCTTCTTCCCACACTAAGCTCCCTGAGAGCACGACTAGTGAACCAATTGTCTTTGCATCTTTCTTAGCAAATCTCTGCTCATTATAGACACTCAATATTTATAGAATTGTATTAAAAATATTTTTAAACTATAGTAATAGCCATGGGCAAGTCCTTTAACCCTGTTTGCCTTAGTTTCCTCATCTGTAAAATGAGCTAGAGAAGGAAATGGCAAACCACTCCAGTGTCTTGGCCAAGAAAACTCCAAATGAAGTCACAAAGATCAGATATGACTGAAACAACTGAACAACAATGCTTGTATGGTACCTACTATGTGCTGAATACTTTATAATTATTATTGACCGTCATTAAAACCCTAGGAGGGAGGTGCTGCTATTAACTCCATTTTACAGGTTATGGAACTCAGACACAAACAGAAGTTAAGTGACTTGCCCAGGGTCACACAGCTGATGAGTGAGGATGGGTTTGAACTCGTCTTCCTGACTCCACATCAGTCTCTATATCCACTGTACCACTTTTGTTTGCTTTGAATATTGACATGGAAACTGAGCTTCCATGTTTATATTGTAGGTCTGGGAGTAAGCTTTCTCAGTCACTGACTCACTGTGAATGCGGGGATAGGGCATTTAACTTGCAATGCTTGAGTTTTTCCAACTGAGAATCAGAATTTATGAGATTTGTCATACATCTACCTAAGAAAAGTGGTGATGATGGATAAGAGTTTATGCTGAGGTTTTGGGTAAAGCTGATCACAGAGTAGGCATAGCAAGCATATCTCTTTAACTTACAGAACTCTTAGCAAGAACTTGATTTGCCCTGTGCCTATGAAAAAGCAGATATTACATCTATAAGCATGGCTTATTCTTGAATTTTTTTTTTAAGGCAATTGAGGTTAAAGTGACTTGCCCAGGGTCACCCAGCTAATAAGTGTCAAGTGTTTGGTCTGAGGCTGGATTTGAACTCAGGTCCTCCTGAGTTCAGGGCTGGTGCTCTATCCACTGTGCCACCTAGTTACCTCTTATTCCTGGATTTTAAACTACTGGTTCTTTGGGCATTAATTATTGAGAAACAGACTGTACCCTTGAATGACTTTAAATTAAGAGAGGCTTATATAACCCCAGGTGTTCCTTAAAATTTGGTTTACTTTGAATCCTTGATACTTTGAAAGATAAATTTTTAAAGTTTATTTACTTTCCCCCTCCAACAGGTGAAAAGAAAAAGCTGGATTTTCCAAGCACTGCAATTAAAAAAACCCAAGTGAATGTATTGTAATCTTTTTTGAAGACATCCACATTATGCCACGCTACCATATCCAAATGGGGCCCTATAAAACCAGTTTTAGTAAGGAAGATGATGACAGCTGCTGCCCAAAGGGATTAAATTTTTCAAACTCATTCACAACTGATATCAGAATCTTCCCTGATTTTATTTATCCTAATTTGAAGATCCTAAAAAGACAGGTGCTGTTGGCTCTGTCTATTCAACAATTCATACTATTAGTAAATACATAGCCCTCTACCTCTCCATGCGCCAGGCTATTCCCTGTAAAGTGAACTGGTGAAGGTGAATGAACTATTATAAAGTGTTTAGGGAAGAAATAGAATTCTAACAGATACACATAGTGAGCCTGTATGATGCCTTCCATTTTGGATAATGAAAGTATGATTTTTATTATATTTTTCTATGCAACTAGTATTTCTGATCTTTTATGGAGTTTCTGTTTAAAATTTCTGCTAGACTTGAGTTACTTAAAAAACAAACTAACCTATTTTCTTATTGTTTCTAAATAGTAATCCACCATCCCAGTCATCACTATGATTATGTCAATTGCTGGGCTAGGCAACAAATTGATAAACAATTTTGAACAATTGAATAAAAGCTTTATGAAGATATTGTATTGTTGTGGTATTCTCCTTAACTTTCTTTTTTTATCTATCAGAAAACTATGGTTCTGATTCAAGGCCCCCAAAGAATAACATTTTAGTGATAGAAGAAGCCCATTCGTGAACCCAAGAAGGAAGTGATTTCCTGAAGCTATTTATTTGCAGAAGGAGTTGTTTGTTTTTAACAGGTTCCAGAATATTTCACATGGTAGGAGTAATAACTACCAGTATCCCCGCCATGTAGGCTGGGTTAGTTTCCCCCTTAAAGTCAGGGAAGCTTTACTAAGGCTTGTTTAGTTTAAGGGGCTAAGGCTTGAGTTTCTCGGTCATGCAGGGCAGAAGAAACTGGTGTCTTTAAGATTTGGTGGATGTCTGCTAAAGCTGTATCACCCAACAGATCCTGTTGACTGGAAGTTTCTGTATGGTAATGGTCATGTCAACCTGACTCAGGTCTGTGTCCTTAAAGAAGATCCTTCCCATGCTGTCATTAAGTCAATTTTTAAAAAAAATTTTCTCTCCTCAGTGACAGCACTGCCATCCTGTTAATTTATATTCATTTAATCATAGTTAATTGCGTGCCAGAAAGAAGTCTAAAATTCCATCAGAGACCAGGTTCCCAAAGTAAGTGAGCTCTTCCCCTGGGTATAAATTTATCATTTAAATTAATCATTTAATAAATTTATGATTCTTCAGGCCACTAAGACATGTAGGTGATAATATGCTCAATTTAAACTATGCCTAGATGACAAAAATAATCCTATCAACACATGGTCATTTTGGTCATTTTAGTTATTTAGTTGTTATTTATATTGGCCTTCAAACAAAACTGACACTGTAAGTCAACTTTTTTTTTAAAGTGTTAGTTGGTCTACAAGTATCTCATTTCATTCAAATGCCAAGTTTGAATTGCTGGACCAGCAGACGATGTCAGTGTCCATGACGTTGACTTGGAATTGCAATCTGAAGATGTAATCCCATGTGATGGTTGACCTGTATGTCCAGAGGAGCCTTGGATTAGATAATCTGGAACTTGGAAATTGGGACGGATTCTCCTGTGTTCTTATCCTTCGTTGCTGTAACCAACATTCCTGTGTATTAGATCCTTTGGCTTCTGAGGCCAACCTGACCAAGAGTTGTTCTGTGAAATCTATGCATAATAACACCGAATCATGGGCCAGAGGCTTTCCAGACCGTGGGAAAGAAAGAACTCTGATTCAGTTTAATCAAACAACATTTACTGAGTGGGATGTACCTCCATTGGTTGTAGAGCTAGGAAGACCTGGGTTCAGTTCCTCACTTCCGACACATGCCAGTTGTATAGATCTGGGCAAATTCCTTAACTTCTCTGCATCTCACAGGGTTCTTGAAGTGATATCTTGAAGATAAAGCTTATAAAGCATTTTTAAAATTTTTAAAAATTATTTTTTCCAATTACACGTAAAAACAAATTTTAACATTGGGTTTTTTAAATTTTGAGTTCCAGATTCTGTCTCCCTCCTTCTCTCCCCTTCCCTTCATTAAGAAGGCAAGAAATTTGATATAGGTTAAACATGTGCAGTCATGCAAAACATATTTCCATATTAGTCATGTTGTAAAACAAAAAAAAACCCAGCTTCCCACCCTCCTGCCCCCCCCCAAAAAAAAACCCCAAGGAAAATAAAAGTGGTTTTTCTTTTTAAAGTATGCTTTGATCTCCATTCAGACTCCATCAGTTCTTTCTCTGGAGATGTATAGCATTTTTCATCATGAGTTCTTCAGAATTGTCTTAGATCATTGTATTGCTGAGAATAGCTGTCATTCACAGTTGATCATTGTACAGTATTAACTGTGTACATTGTTCTTCTGGCTCTGATCCCTTCACGTTGCATCAGTTCATACCATTCTTTACAGGTTTTTCTGAAAGCATCCTGCTCATCATTTCATATAGCACAATAATATTCCATCACAATCATATACCACAACTTGTTCAGCCACTCCTCACTTGATGGGCAGCCCCTGAACTTACAAGTCTCTGCTATCACAAGAGCTGCTGTATGTATTTTTGCACATATAGGTTCTTTTCCTTTTTTTTTTTTGATCTCTTTGGGATACAGACCTAGTAGTGGCGTTGCTGGATCAAAGTTCTATATGCATAGTTTTATAGCGCTTTGGGCATATTTCTAAATTGTTCTTTGAGTTTATCAAACATTAGATTACTATGGTCATTTACTACTGTGTATTATGTACCTAATCTATTTCACTGATCCACCACTCTTATTTCTTAGACAGTACCAGGTTGTTTGGATGATTACTGCTTTGTAAAATGGGGCTATCTCCAGTCGTCCTGATCTATATCTCACCACTGAACCCAGATGGCTCCAGAGGAGAAAGTGAGGCTAGTGACTTTGTACAACCCTCCCTCACTTAAATCCAATTCACTTGCAAGTCATGGCATCACTTTCCTGATGTCATGGTTCTCTTCAAGAACAAAGGACAAAAACAGCTTTGTAATACAGTTTGTTTTTTTTAGGCAATTGGGGGTTAAGTGACTTGCCCAGGGTCACACAGCTAGTAAGTGACAAGTGTTTGGTCTGAGGTCAGATTTGAACTCAGGTCCTCCTAACTTCAGGGCCAGTGCTCTATCCACTGCGCCACCTAACTGCCCCTGTAATACAGTTCGAGATCTTGTACAGCTAGGCCACTTTCTTTCACATTTTTTTCATTGATTCCTTTGATATTCTTGACCTTTTGTTCTTCTAGATAAATTTTGTTATGTTTTCCAGTTCTATAAAATATTTTTGGTAATTTGATTGGTATGAAACTGAATAAGTAAATTAATTTAGGTAGAATTGTCATTTAAAACATTTTCTGAAGCTTAAGGTGCTATAGAAATATGAACTCCTATTATTATGTGCTAAGTGATTCATGGAATAGGAAAGGTGTAGGAGGTACAGTCTCTACCTTTAAGAAGCTGGACATCTAACTGGAAAGATGAGGCAGAGAGATGTGAAGCAACTGACAAAGTGTGAAGAAGTACATGATTTAGCATTAATATGAGCAGTGAAAACAGTAAGAACTACTGAAGATTAATATAACACACACTGGTAGAGCCTGGAAGGACCAGGAGAGCTATAACAAAAACAACAATAAACCACATTTAAAACTCTAAGATAATATGAATCATCCACAGTTTGTATCTCTCCGTGCCCAGCACAGTACTCGACACACAAATAGTTACTTGATAAATATGTGTTATGTATTTTCTTTTACAAAAAACTCTTTCATTATGGCTGTGCAATAGCTTCCTGATTTTACAGATGAGGGAACTGAGGCACAGAGTGATTTGTCCATGGTCACACAGCCTGCAAGTACCAAAGACAGGATTTGAATTCAGGTCTATCTTCTGACTCCAAAGGTACTTACTATTTTGTTTCTCTGAACTGATTCCATTTCTCAAAGAGGTGGGATGTACGGTGGTTCTCAATAGGTTTGACCCCTATTCTTCCTTGGATTATTCTTTCTCTAACATCTCATTTTCCATGTGGCTGACCTCATTTGTATTTCTCCCACTCCTTGGGCCATAGGTATTTTGGATTTCTTTGACTTCTTCCAACTCATTGCTGGGAAATCTCATCAGCTTGTAAGATCCAATCAGCCTTGGTACTCACACCCCATCATATCTGCTCTTCTGATTGGAGGGTGAAGCTATGAGCTCCTCAGCCTCTATTTAAGCAGAGAGAGACATTATGCCTTTCCCCACTTCCTTTTTGCCCTCCCAATTCCAGCTTTCTTTTGGGTATTGTTTCCCCCTATTTAATTGTAAGCTCTTTGAGGGAAGGAACTATCTTTTTTTTTTTGTATTTGTATCCTTGGTACTTAGCACAGTGCCCAGAACATAATAAGCATTTAATAAATGTTTATTGACTAATGACATTCATTGCCATCTAATAGACTATGGACATGACACTGAAGTAAGAAGGGAAGATGAGAACGTTGATGTATCTTTGAACCTGTTCATATACTAGGGCAGATGAGTGCCCTGTCCTGTCATCATTTGTGGATTTATAAATCCTTGGTGTTTATAGCAATGAAAATAGCAATGGATTGTGACTCAAAAGATCTGGGTTTGAATCTAGGCTATCATATTTATTAGCTTCATTTGGTGCCTTATTAAAAGGTTTGCTGGGATTTTTGGCAGGAGAACTGACAAATTACCACTTAACTGGAAGTCTAGAAATATACCTTTACCATGTGGGCAAATGGAACTGAGAACAGTGACTATAATTTATCCATATTTATTTTGTCACTAACCAAGAATTAAGAAACATTTCAAATCCCAAGGGCAGGGTTTCTCAAGGGTTTGGAAACAATCTGCTCTGTC